TAAAATACCCAGCACAAAGACCCATTCCACAGAAAACATCCATTACAAACAATCAATATACTAGCTTTAGTAAAACACAAATTATTGGTTTTAAGTTACCCACAAGAGAAGGAAAAGAGTAACAGAAGATTCACTGCTGCTGGGAAAAGTCTTCAGGACATTTTATGGTAAAACAGACTGTTTTCAAAATTTTTCTATTTGATAGTTATATTAAATTGTCAGAATATTCTGAATTTGCAAAGCTTGCAGTGTGATTAAAAATCATCAGGAGAGTTTCATTTGATTTTAATTTTGTCTTTTGGAGGTTGCCTATGACATGATTAGCAAGTTCAATAAATGAGTTTTTATTTATATACAAGACGTGTCCAGTATTATTCAGTAATGTTAACCACAAGACAAATTGTTTCAAATAGTAAAGTCTTGCTGACTGCTTGCTGTACATTGATCTACTGTAGTGTGTTTTGAGGGTTGTTTGTTATTTAGAGATTTAGTGTAATTCACAGACTGAAATAAACACCCCCTTGTTGAGGGGACTGAGTTGATCAGAACTTTCATAGGGATCTTTCTAGGTCTAGAAAGCCTAAGGCTTTTGAAGTTTTATTAAAATAAGTAGTAAAATGCCTTACTTTTTAAATTGAAAAATCATAATGATTCTTTCTAAAGGATTATAAAAGGATTTATAAACACCTCCTACTTGTTCCACAGTAAATGTGTTCTTGTTTCAGGTTTAGTGTCAGCTAACTTGGTGATTTCCTGAGTTACTGGTGGTTCTTCAAAATCCCCTGTGATCCTTACAAAGTTTCTTTCCCTCACCATGTAGTTCAGCTTTTTTTTTTCATGCTACCCCCTGGAGTGTCTCAGTGTTGTGAACTGCAGACTCCCATATCCTTGCCATCTCTCTGTCTCTCTGACCCCTTCTCACTTTATGTTGTGTGGGTTTGCTTTTTTTTCTCTGAGCATACTCAGCTATTGCTCAGGCAAAGGTAAAGATCAGGCAAAGGTCTTTTCCTCTCCCACAGGATACTTCCCAACCCAGCTCTCTCAAAAGAACAAGCCGCAGCTGAGAATAAGCAAATCAAACAGATAATGCCTGTCCTAGAGTGTTTGATTTTTCTTAGGTTGACTGTCTATAGTGGAATAAGAGAACATCTAGGCAGTAATGATTGCTGGAAATCTCACAACATACCAAATACCTTTTTTTCTGACATCAGTACCCAGCAGGATACTCTATTGTGGCCATGGAATGGGGAGTTATCTGTAGCAGATGTTTTATTTTACATAAACACTCTGATAGCCTGTCTCAAACTAATGTTCCAGAGTTTGAACTGGTGCCTTCCACTTGATTGGGAGTCTCATCTACTTAGGCAAGAACTGCAGTAGCAGAGAAGGTATGTCCATACTGTGTTTTGTTGTAAGAACAGGGAGGAAAGACTACCTGATTACTCTAGGGCTGCCATACAAGAAGACAGAGTTCCTTGGAGAGATAAGAGCAGTGCACCTTCCAGGAAAGTAGTTGAGCATATACATGGAAGTTTTTAAAATGTTGAATGAGGTCATTAAGGAGTAGTCCATGAGTAAGTGAGGCAGAAAAGGCAGGGAGCAGACTATAATATTTGTGAACTTGTTTTCAATCAAGTGGTAGATGTGGCATAGTCTGAGAGAGGCTGTGTAGTTTGTTGTGACTCAGAAAATGAAAGAAAGTTGCTGAATTGAAAAGCAAGTCTGCTGGGACATTGTGGGAGGAGGGAAATTTTTTCCTTAACCTTTTATTCTTAGCTTTCTCATGTGATGGATATCAGTTTTCTCTACTTAAAAATAATTATTTATTTATTCTACTGTAGTATTTTATGTTATGGTAAGCCCTGGATTTAGGGATTTTTAAATACCTAAATTCATGTCTTTTGATATGCTCAAATTGCTGAATAGGTGGAATAATTCCACTTTCAGAATCTGATTGACTCATGGACCTGTGATAGTTGTCTGCTGCTGGAGACAGTGGGATTGCCCAGCAGGCAGACTCTTCAGTGAAGAATTTAGTGCCAACTTTTTTTTCAGTATTTTTCTTAAAAAAATTAGACATTTTCTTCTGTTCCATCAAGTCACTGTGGTCATCTATGAGTATGAACTCTGTTTTTGTGGTCTACTGTATGTATAAGGACCTACAAAATGTTGTAGCTACCAAGGTCGGTGCTTGCCTTAGATGCATAAGAGCAAAGCATAATGACTCCTTCAGCTTACATCATCTAACACTGTACAGAAAGGACTCCAAACAAAAACATGCTGAAATACAGAGACCTCAGAGATAAGCTGAATTCTTAGACCTCAACACTGAACTGACAGAGATTTGTAATGGAGAAAATGCACTTTTGTTGAATTTAGTTCCATTTTGCTAAATCTTCCTGATATATAGGATAGATACATACAAAAATATATGCCTAAGAATGCCTTTTTGACTTCTGTGATGTTAGACTTGACAGGCCTATAATGTGAAATGATTTACAGACAATTTCAGGTGAATTCTTTAGATGGAAAAATGAGTTTTCGGTGATTATGAATATAATGCTGTGCAATTGATTTTATGTGTGTTATTGATAAGACCAAGTGCTGTCTGACAGTAATTGTATATTATTGATGCTATTTGTTAACATTTTACATTTAAGCAGAAATTACACAATGATGTGACTTTGTGCTGTTTCCATTATTATATGTTGCAAAAGCATTAAGCTTTCCTGGAGTCACTTTTAACTACTAAAGTAGGATCATGATACATAACTGCTAAAAGGAGAGATATTTTGAAGAGTATAACTGTGTAGTCTTAGCGTATTGACATAGTATCAGCAATTCAGGATGATTGTTTGCTTTCAATTTCTGAATTTGAGAAGGAGCATCTTTCTTGAAAGTAATTGGCATTTTAAGGAAAAGATATATGTTAGTAAAGTTATGTGTCCAGTTAGTATTTGCCTGAAAGTTTCCTGTTAGCTTTGTTTATAAATACAGTCCATGGCTATACTCAAGTGGAGACTTTCAAGACTTGGTAGGAAATTTACTTATTAAATTAGTGTGTTTTGTGTAACTGATTTTCTTATTTGGTTTTGAATATCCCATTGTCAGTGAAAAAAAGGCTTAATCCTGCAGATGGTTAAACATATAAATAGTTCTCATGAGTACAGCCTTTATAAGATGACATCTAGCTACCTTTTTTATTTCTAGACATTAAATGTAGCATACAGACTTTCTATTGACTGTCTTTCTAAAATGCAAGTAGTATTTCTGTCTTGGTGTGGTGAATCATATTGAGAATTCTTCTTGTGTTTTACAGTTGGAATAGATATTGTCTGATATCTACATGTGGTTTTATCATAAGTATTTATTTGTCATGATCTAATTTCCAGGTTCCCCAGGACCATCCAGTGATCATAGCAGTGGAGCTTCATCACCTCTCTTTGACAGTGGCTTACATTTAAATGGAAACTCAACTAACACGGTAAGCAAATGAGTAGTAAAGACATGGTGTAAGCTATGTAAGTTCTCTTCCCATTTTGAGCTTCGAAATGCTAGTGTAAGACTACCCTAATTCTGTTGGTTGTTTGCATGTTTGTTTGATTGATTTTTAAGTGCTTATACTGTAAAATTCTGTACTTAAAAAGTCACCAACATGGGGCCCTGAAATGCTAGGTTCTTACTCTGAGGCAGCTGAGAAGGTTGTAGGAATGAGCACAGTAAGATTTATTCATAGTTTACATCAATTCATCTGAACTTTTGTCATACTTTGTTGAATTATAGCATTGTACTATTGAATTTAATCCAGCTAGAGATGCTGAAATGTACATGGAATTCAGAAAATAGTGTAAAGTTGAATTCTTGAGGCAAACTTTTTTGATAGGAATCTTCAGTGTCTGAAAAAACATATTTAGATATGATAACATAAATACATTATATACAATAAATAAATAAATAAATAATAAATGGAAATATGCTTTTCTGGGCTGATACCTGTACTTTAGTGCTTGGTGTCCAAACTGGTCATAGATACAGAAAGTTTCATGTTTATTTGTTTTTAATTATCCAGATAATTATTACCTCTAATTACCTTGTACTGTTGTCTTAATAAAGAGCCCAAGTCTGTCCTCGCGGTTCAGCATTTTTCAGTGCCTGTCTACCAGGTGCTCTGTAGACAAAGTCCTTTCTGCAAAGCACTTACATTGTGAGAAGGTGGCTATCGTCAGATGATTGCCTGTGATTGCATTAGCATGTTTTAGTAAATTATCGCCTATTAAGTACTAGAATGAATGTGCAATAACAATTTTTAATAATAATTATTACAGTACTTTGGGAATTGCACACTGAATTCTATGCATTATAAAAACAAACAAGTGGCTGGAGTGGTGTAGACTTGTAACAGAGTCATTTAGATTTAGTTGTCAAGGTAACACACAAAAACCTGTTTATAAGTTTGAAATATAAGTGGAAAACCAGAAAGTAAAAGGGACTACTAAGGTTCTAACTTGCTTTTATACAGCACTTAATTTTTCTGAAGCTTGACATAAAGTCACATGAAGACCTATGTATACACCAGACACTATGACCTAGAAGTGGAATAAAGCAGAACAATCTACCTAGTGCATTGTAAAAGTCATAATCTCCCTTTGTAGTAAACAAAATGAAAAATTACCAGATTCTTATTGTGAAATACAAGAGCAAGGTTCTAAGTACTTTGAGCAAGAATGACTGACTTTTGAGATGGTTGACTCTCAAACTAAGCTGTGAGTGTAACTGAGCTGTGATCACATCTAAAAGTGGTTATAAATGTGTATCAATCTAGTGAGTGCTTCTCTTTTTTTAAATTGGATATTTTCATTTTTATGGTAAAGTAAGAGCAGAACTGACGTTTCCTCTAACAGTATTGCCCAGTAAGACTAATGATATTTAAATCCTTTTTTTATGTCACCCTGGTAGGGGAGATCTGACTCAGCCTTAATATTGCATCTTGCAAGTTTGTATTGCAGTTGTATGTACCTTCCTAACCACACTCAAATCCATGCCATATTAGACAATGCATCTGTATTTATGAGTGGAAATGCTGCTTCAAATAGCACACAATGGAAAGGAAAGGACAGGAATGAGAGGTAAGGAATTAGTGTTATGCCAGTTTTACCAAGCTGTCATACAGCATGTCTGCTCTGAAAAACAGTAATAAGGAGGCACTAGACCTAGGTTGTATCATATAGACAGTACTTTAGCCATCTTAACAGCAAGCTCTTTCTGCCTAATACCATTATACCATTTTCAGTCTGGTACTAGCTTGCCTCTATTAGATCTATCTTTATCACCTCTGCTGTGAAGCATCTGTTATATGTGATGTGATATCATCCTCAGGATTTATATACATCCTTTCTGTAATATCAGAGCAGTTTGCAGTATAGCACTTTAAACAGGGTTATCTGGAACCCAGAGAAATGAGCTGAAGTGCTCTCTTCACACCTAATTATTTTGTGCTTGGGCACTGCGACAAATGCTACAGGGATTGGCAGTGGCAATTATATTCATCTGTACCTTATAAGTGGTTTATTAAACACAATGTGAAATTCTAGAGGGGAAGATAAAACATACAAAGGAGGTGGTCTCTAGGCCAGTGAGTACAGGTTGTTTACCTGGAGCATTCTAACTACAAAACAGTGAAGAAAATCCTGTAGAGATATTTTCCTAGATGTCTAAATATCCTAGACATCCAGGCCAGCTCCCTGGAGAAATTGGTGGTGAAAAAAAAAGACCAGAAATAAAACAAATTGCTGTTTAAGACACCATGGAATAGTATGACAGTTACAATGCAAAGGCACAATGTAGTAGATTTTCATTTGTCTGAGAATCCAGCTTCCCTGAATTATTTAAAAGTAATGTACTAAAAAGTGAAGTAAGAGCGGAGTAAATTATTTTCTGTGTGTTCATGTAATTTAAAAACTCTTAATTTAATTTTGATAGTATGTTAAGTTTAGTTGGTTAGATGGAACTAAACAGGCGCTTAAAATTTCCTGAATTGCTTTAAAATATTTTTTCTTCGATGCCTTTATTTCAGCTGCTAAATTGAACAATTTTACTTTAAAAAAGGCATTGCCTACTTCATCAACAAGTGAAGTTTTTAAAAAGGAAAAATACAAATGCTACATCTTTAGTGTCTATGATACTTCTTGTTCCAAAGACTCTATCCCAAGCACTGAAAGGCAGAAAGGAAAGAGGATCAGAGAAAGGGAGTTGGAGACTCCTGTTCTGAGAGTAAAACCATTCTGATGGATACTTTAGGGGAATGCATGACCAGAGCATTAAACTGAGATAGAATGGGTTTTATTCTTTTAAATCCTCCTGTGGTGTCTTCCAATTCGGTAAAAACACACTATTGATCATTCTTAAGGTTTATTTTATTCTTTAATTTTTATCATCCTGTAGCTCACTTCGAGAAATTTCAGTTCTTTTCTATTAGAATGGTTTTGCATGTGATACCAATTGCCTCTGCCAGCTCTTCATCTGAAACTCCATGATTTTCTAACTGAATATGAGAGCAATGTAACTTCAAATTGACTTCCAGGTCATGGTGTGTCATTTGGTAATGATTTTGGTAAAACGACTAATGTATTAAATACAAAAAATAGCTCATTCAGAGTTTTCCATTTATTTGCTGAAGGGAAGCAAAATAGATGAACACAGCCAGCTACACTTAAATAGTTTGGACTGCTGCTGTGCTGAGGACCTTTATGAAATGAGATAAACACACTGCAAATAAGTGTGCTCTTTTTTCTCAATTAATAAAACATGAAGCGACTAACCATTTTCCTTATCAGGGAAAAATAATCCAAATTTTCTGTTTCTGACTGCACCTCTCTGAAATCATAGCAGTAGAAGCTACAAAGAGCCTTTTAAATAACATCTTCCTGCTCCACTATTATAGAACTGTAAGGAAATGCTTTTGATATAGAGGATTGATATTGCTTGATTTCGATTTAGCTGTACAGAAGTGATGTGTTTGTCTAATTCTGATTAGAGTTGATTGGGACTTTCACTATGATATTAGTGAAGCAAATTAAAGGTATTTTTAAAAGTCTTGCCTTTTAATAACATTGATCCACACTGTCACTGCTAATCCATTTAGCAGACTTATTTCTTCTAGTATTCATCAGGTTGGTCATTTCATATGCACAGAAATTAAACACTTGTTTAATTTCCCAGTGAAGTTTAGTCAAATATGGGGTTAGGTTTGGTTTGGGGTTTTTTTTTTGTTTGGTTTTTAACTGAGAGCCTTAACAAAAGGTGATGAAAGGAAATATGGCATGGAAAATACAAAGAAAGTCTTACCTCATCATCATCATGGCTAGGCTTCGGGAACCTAGCTGCTGAATAAATGGATGCTGAACAATATTTGCTGATTTATGACATCTAATACTAGTTTAAAAAGTGCTCACTTAAACCACTGAAAATTAATCTGATATTCACACACCTGCAAGGAAGAAAGCTTGAATTTTTAAGCAGGGACTGGACTAAATCCAAGTCTGTTTTCACTGGAAGTCAAAGACCAATAAAGGTCAGAAAAAGATTATGCTTTGTTATTTATCTTTCAGAAAAAAGTACAACAGGATCACAATGGAACTATTATGCCAAGCAGAAAGAAGTAACTTGCATTTGTTAGGCATCTGGTTTCATTTTTTAATTGTACATATTTTCCCCATACACAGCCCTTGCATATGAATACATTGGTTCTTTTAGTTCTTAGGAATTTGTTCATTTTAATTTGTGGTAGCAGCAAAAAGAAAACAGCTTCAGAGATAAAGCCCAATTTATTTATTTTTTTATAATTTCTGATAGAAATTGGTCATGTCCTTTATCCTTATCCATTCCTTTTTTTTTTCTTGAATTACATGTAAATTTAAGATATTTTGAGTCCCTTTGCTTACTTGATGAATTATAGGGAGTGATTCATCTGACTAGTCACCACAAAATCTGCCTTTAGACAGAGTTGCATTGCTCTGTATTGCTGCTGAGTGTATTGAGTGCCTTTTATTTGCACAGATAGATAAATGAGTTTTGAGGAGTGATGTTATTTTTTAGTGAATGATGCCATTCTGTTTGACTTATAATTTAGGAGTACAGTATGAGAGCTGTACAGGAATTAAATTTGCATTTGATTCTTGGATAAAATAATCTTTTTTTCTCTTATTATCTGTTCCTCTGTCTATACAAAGGTGTAAAATGGACCACTTCAGATCAGAGTTAGATTATAAAGAGAAGTTAGAAATTTAAAACTCTCTTAGAAGCAAATGTGAGAAAACAAAATTATGGCGATTTCTCACCTGTTGCCAACATGGTGAACAGAAAGAGCCACCATCTTTCATGTGTTTCAGCAGGGAGTATCAGAAGTACTTGTTTGGAGGGAAATATACAGGGTAGCATTCATGAGGTTGAAGACTAAATGAAGAAGCTGAAGTGTTAGAGGAAATG